GCTTATTCCACTGAGCTGTCTCCCTGGCCCTCATGTGTGTATCTTTGATGGGTTGTCTGTTAAGGTCTGACTTGTTTTTGAGTTATTTTTTTATTTGTTAAATTGTAAAAGTTCTTTGTATATTTTAGATCATATTCCTTTATCACATGTCTCTTGCAATATTTGCTTCTAGCCTGCTGCTTGTCTTTTACTCTCATGACAGTTTGTTCTGCAGAGTGGAAAATTTTAATGTTCAGCTTATCTGTGCTTTCATGAATAATTGTGCCTTTGATCTTAAAGGTCTTTGCCAAGCATAAGGTCACATAGACTTTCTCCTCTGTTTCTCCTATGGTTCGTAGGAGTTGTGTACTTTTGCATTTTACATTCTGGTCTGTTACTAATTTTACATGGATTTTTATGAAGTATGAGTTTTGTTTTGTTTTGTTTGCATGTAGCTACCTAGTAGTTATAGCACAGTTTGTTGAAAATTGTCTTTTCCATTGTGTTGACTCTGTTCTTTTGTCAAAGCCCAGTGGGTCTATTCTGTGTTTTCTATGCTAGTCCATTGAATTATTTGTTGTTGGGGACCTGCCCATTAGCTCAGTTGTTTAAGTGAGTGCTTAAACAGAGCAGTCTGGCTCAGGTTGCTGTGGTTCAATCCCCAGATCCTCAAGCCATACTAGACCTGCCCTGAAGGCATGCTGAGCCATCCAAAAAAAAAAAGAAAAAGAAAAATTCTTCTGAATTATTTGTTATAACCAATACTTCCCTAACTCAGTTACTAACTATGCTTTATAGTAAGTATTGAAATTGTGGTGTTAGTCTTCCCACTTTGCCTCTTCATATAAAGTTTAGAATCAGATTTTTGGTAGAGATTTTTATTGACTAATTGTCTTTTTATTGCTCTTATTAACTTGTTTGAGACAGTCTCACTGTGTAGCTCACACTGGCCTTGAATAATCATTGTCTTCATCATTGCATTTGGATAAAACTGCCATGTGAGCTACATGTGTAGTTTAAGGTTTTTTTTTTTTTTCCCCCTTTGGTGGAACGAGGGATTGAACTCAGGCCCTTGGGCTTGCTAGGCAGGCACTTATTCTACTGAGCCATCTCCTGGCCCTAAGTTTTCTTATAACCACATTTAAATTTTTTTTATTTTTCTTATTAAAATACCATATATTGCTGAGAGAACAGGTGCAGAATTATTCAGTGTGTTATCTTTTGTATGAGAAGTGATAAATTTGGGGACAGGAGACAGAAAATGAAGTGGTTACCTGTGTGTTGGAGTAGCTGGCATTTAGTTTTTTGGGTTTTTTTAACTCAATTTTTTTCATATTGTTTTGACATTGGAGCTATGTAAAGTATTATTCAAGAGAACATTCTTTAAATGATATTGGTTATTCCAGAGCCCTTAGATTGTTCTTTTTATTTTTATTGTTCAATATATTTGTCAGTATTTTTTTTTTAATTTTAGAGGAATATTTCTGAGATGAAGCATAGCATGAGATTAATAATAAATTACACCTTGTAAATAAATTATTTACAAACTTAAATGAATATAACAGTAGAAATTGTCCAAAATAAAAATGAAGAACTTACAGATCAGTCATGTAATAGTTCACTCTGTGCCAAAATCAAGAAACTTATATTCATGTAATTAGAATTCTCAAAGTACAAAGGGATAGGCAGTAAATATATAAGGATTTAAAATTTCTGAGTTTCGTTGAAATTATAGCACATTTCCAAGAAAAAAATGAACCTTTTGCACAGTAAATTTGAGTAAAATCATACCAAGATACAAAAAAATAAAATTGTCCAAAACTTATTGTAAAGAAAAAAAATCATTAAGGCATACACATATAAAAAATTGGCTCTGCTGTAGAGCTTAGAGTTATTACCTTAGCACCAGATCCGGATCTACCAAGTTCAGGCTTGTCCAGGTGGATGTGGTGTGGGTCTGGCTGCTGTGCTCCACTTCTTCCTGCTGTAGCTCTTGGAGGTGAGCCCGCTGTACCTCTCTGGCATGATGTTCTGCTCCTGGATCAGCTAGGTGGGTCTTGCCTATCGCCTCTCTGCAGGGAGTTCTTCGGCAGGGCTCCACACTGGGCTGTCTGATGGAGGAAGTTCTACTCTCACTAGGGCCTGGGCTCTGGGTGGCATGAGGATCCAGTGGGCCCTGGGCGGTCTCACTCACATGCTGGGCCTGGGTCTGTAGATTTTTCTTTCAGACATACTGCTGTAAATCAGCCCAAATTTGTTTGTTTAGGACAGGGTCTACCTGTGTAGTCCGGGCAGGCCTTGAACTCACTCTGTGTAGTCCAGGCTGCCTGTGAACTTGGAGCCGTCCACCTGCCTCAGCCCCGAGTGCAGGGATTCACAGGCATGTGCCACCATGCCTGACTCAGATCTTTTGTTCTCTTGTTTCCCCCTTTTATTTTTGGTATTTTAGGGAAGGGTCTAGAGGGTGTTCAGGGTCACACTGCTAGACTGGACTTGTAGTGATCTACCTGTTTATAGCCTCGCAAGAGCTGGGATTACAGGTGCATGCCACCATGCCCAGTCTCAATTGCAGTCTCAGTGTGCCCTGGGGGTGGGGCCAGCACAGCAGGCCCACCAGTTTTTTCTTTAAAATTACTAAAAACTTCAAAGGACTTTTTAAAGTATGATGTAGTTGGTTTTACTGTGTTATAAATTTTAAATACTTATTTTTATCAAGTTCATTTAAAAATAATAAATTCATTCCGTGTGTGTGTGTGTGTGTGTGTGTATCCCCCCCCCCCCCCCCCCCCGTACCAGGGATTGAACTCAGGACCCTATGCTTACCAGGCAGGCACTTATTCTACTGAGCTATCTCCCCAGCCTATATTTTTATTTACAAGTGTTCTCCAATATCAGAGAGAAATAAAGCATTATTTTATATTTTTTGTTTATCTTATTTATTGTCTGGATTAATAGACATTTAAATTCTCAGATTTGCTTCTGCATACAGGAGCCCCTAAAAAATTCCACTGTATTCTCATGACAGAAAGTGAGTGAAAAGAGCAACTAAAATAGTTCTGCCTCACAAATCCTCCCTGAAACAGGAAACCCCTTTACTACCTCTTTAGAACTACTTTAAATCAAAGCAGCCATCATCTTCGCATGCTTGTTTTGCATGATTAGTGGTGCTTAAATGTTACTTCTTAGAAACATGACTAATTAAGAGGAAGGGTTATAGATGAGGGAGTTTCGTATAAAATTCCTTTTGACAAAGTGAATTTTAAGTCTTATTTTTTAAGAAGCTTGGAAAAACCCTACTTGATTTTCAGATATTTCCTTAGAGGATCAAAGTGTTTAAAAATTTTCCAAATTTTGAGAGACAAAATAGTTACATCTTACTCAGGTTTATACCCCAGCCTCTTCCATTTTCTTCCAAATCTAACTGAAGCTCACATAGGAAGTACTCCCTGATTACCTCAGCTTTTTGCCTTTTCCCTGAACCTTTGCACTTCCTGTTGCTAGCTGTTAAACATGGGGCCTCACATGTGCTAAGCAAGCACTGTACCCCTGAGCTGTATCCCCAGCTATGTATGTGTATATGTATTGATTGATTGATCAGTCTATTGATACTCATTTACAGGGTCATGCCAAGTTGCCCAGGCTGGGCTCCAACTTGTGATTCTCCTGCCTCAGCCTCCCAAGTAGTTGAGAACATAAGTGTGTACCACTGCACCTGGGTGGATCCTATCTTTTTATACTGTATCTTATATTACTCATTTGTAAAACTTTTATCCCTTCAGTTAGTTGGAGGTCCCAGGGCAAAGGACTTGATCCTGTCTGTTTTATGGTTTTAGTGGGCTTTTTTATGACCTCAAATGTTTATGCTTTTTTATGATCTCCAATGTTTATGCTGAATTTGATGTCTTCAAGGCCTATTGCTGTAGCTGCTATGTCTTCCTCCTTTGCAGTATATTCCACAATACTTTTTTCCTTCTTTCTGACAAATCATTGTTTGATTCAGATTGATAAGAAGCTAACGGTTTTTTAACGCTCTTGGTTATACGGTAAGTCCCCAACTGACAAACATCTTACTATGTAAGATTCACTTTGCCAGATCAGGGACAAGTCCGACTTACGAATGTTCTGGAACCAAACTCATTTGTAAGTTAAGGCTTTACTGTGATCAAATTACATATTGTGGTGATGTAATAATTACTCTTAAGTTAAACTTTCTTGGGCTGGAGAGATGGCTTAGTGGAATAGGTGCTTCCCTGGCAAGCACAAGGGCCTGAGTTCAATCACTGGTTCTGCAAAAAAAAAAAAAAGTTAAGCTTTCTCCAGTCTTATATGCTAGTTAAAAGTTTAGTATAGCCTTTTTGGTTCTCTGAGCAGCACCATGGCAGTAGACAAGAACAAGCGCCTTACAAAAGGCGGCAGAAAGGGAGCCAAGAAGAAAGTGGTTGATCCATTATCTAAAGAAGACTGGTATGATGTGAAGGCACCGACTGTGTTCAACATAAGAAATAGTGGAAAAACACTCGTCACCAGAACTCAGGGATCCAAAATTGCGTCTGATGGGTGCAAAGGTCGTGTGTTTGAAGTGAGCCTTGCTGATCTGCAGAATGATGAAGTTGCCTTTAGAAAATTCAAGCTAGTTACTGAAGGCTTTCAGGGCAAAAACTGCCTGACTAACTTCCGTGGCATGGGTCTCCTCCATGACAAAATGTGTTCCATGGTCAAAAGATGGCAGACCATGATCGAAGCTCATGTTGATGTCACGACTGCTGATGGTTATTTGCTTCTTTTGTTCTGTGGGCTTTACTAAAAAAGGCAACAACCAGATACAGAAGAACTCTTCCGCTCAGCACCAGCAGGTCCGCCAGATCCAGAAGAAGAAGATGGAACTCATGACCCAAGAGGTGCAGACAAATGACCTGAAGGAAGTAGTCAGTAAACTGATTCCAGGCAGCACTGGGACAGACATGGGAAAGGCTCGCCAATCTATCTACCCTCCTTATGATGTCTTCCTCAGAAAAGTAAAAATGCTGAAGAAGCCCAAGTTTGAATTGGGAAAAGTCAGGGAGCTTCCTGGTGAAGGTAGCAGCTGTGGAAAGGCTACAGGGATGAGACTGGAGCTAAAGTTGAACGAGCTGATGGATATGAACCACCACTCCAAGAGTCTGTTTAAGATCCAGATTTTTAATAGTGATAAATAAAGTCCTATTTGTGATGGCAAAAAAAAAAAAAACCCACACACAGTAAGTATTAGTATATTAATGTTAATGTTTAATTGGCCATGGCAGTAGCCACCTGTAGTCCCTGTTACTTGGGAAGCTGAGACAGGAGGATCTCTTGAGCTTGGGAGTCTGAGGCCAGCCTGGGCAAATATAACAAGAGCCCATCCCCCCCCCCACAAAAAAAAATTGTTAATTTTTTTCTTTAACTGATATATCTGATATTTTCGTTAAGTTTACCCAGACATTTAACACAATTCTGCTGTTACCTCTGCAGCTGTGGATTTCTTCAATCAAATCAACATGTTGTATGGAACTATTACAGAATTCTGCACTGAAGCAAGCTGCGCTGTCATGTCTGCAGGCCCCAGGTACGACAGCCTGTTGTGGAGGTGTTGGGATTACTTTGCTTATCACTAATGGATATGTAAATACAGATTTTTAAATTTTTTATGTAAAATTGATTCCACTTTGTTCATAAATATAGAACTATAGCTGTTATTTCTAAGTACTTTGGTATGTAGTCAGTGTTTGATTTTTTTTATATTATATCACAGTAACTCAGTATTCTGTTGTAGGAATGACATTATAGAAGTTTGAATTAGGTTGATTTTAACTTTAGTTGGTTTTAAATATTTGTTTTTTTCTTGTTTATTTAGCATTAATGGAAAGCAGTACCTTTTTTTGTTTGTTTTTTTGTTTTTGTTTTGTTTTTTTGCAGAACTGGTAATTGAACTCAGGCCCTTGTGTTTGCCAGGGAACCACTTACTCTACTGAGCCATCTCCCTGCCCCCAACAACACAATTTAGAAGTAATTACTAGGTGGTTTTTTTTTTTTTATTTTTTATTTTCATTTTTTTATTAATGTATTTAGTACAGGGTCTCACTACATATCGTGGACTCACAGTGATCTTCCTGTTTTCAGCCTCCCAAGCTCTGGGATTACAGGCTGGTGCCACCATACCCAGTCTCAGTCACCATTTCAGTTTGCCCTGGGGGTGGAGCCAGCACAGCTTATGGTGCTGGGGCTTGAACCTCAGTCCCTGTGCTCTGCTTATGCAGGCCCTTTAGTCTGCTGAGCTATCTGGCTGACTAATTGCCAGGTTTAAAGATGCTAGGTTGTAAAGGATTTTGAGTATAATCAACTTCAAACTAAAAAGAGTACAGATAGAACTCTTTATCCCCTATAATGCTGTCATATTGTGATGGGATTAATGATTTGTTATTCCTTCTTAGAATAAATTATAGGTTTTATGTAACAATAAATAGTATCAAGATGTTTGTCTCTTGTATTCTAATTTTTTGTAGGTATAAAGAAGATTCCCCAGTAAGTTTTTGAGCCTGTTTTTGTTTCAGTATAGCAGGGATATGTTGTTATTTTTTGTTTCATTCATCAGACTTTAAAAGAATTTAAAATTGAGTGAGAAATACAAACTTGTCTGTGGCTTAAATACGTGGAGAAATATTGCATAAATCTCAGCAAAGATGAAAGGAAAAAAATACATATGGCTAACATGTTTCTTTAAGGTTGTCTCCAAGAAACAAGATTTGATCATCTTGTCACTGATGATAATTTATGGCCTGGCCAAGGGTCTCAGAATGCAGAGGATCCACCTGCTCCTCGCACAACCCTCAGTGCCTTGTGCCTTACACATAGGCGTGCAGTTCCTCTATCTGTCCTAGGGCTGTCTTACATGGCATCCTCGACAAGATGGGATGGTACTGCCAGCTACCACATGGACTGCTTGTCCCTTTCCCTTTCCCTTTGAGTTATAGCACATTTTAGAACAATTCTCTAGGGAATTTACAGTAATCTTCAATAGAACTTTAGCACATAGAACATAGTTTCTATTAACAGAATGTGAAGTTGTACATTTATTGATGCTTTTGAAACTATCAGTAAAACATACTTCTTTCCAGGTATGAATATCACTGGGCAGATGGTACTAATATTAAAAAGCCAATCAAATGTTCAGCACCAAAGTACATTGACTATTTGATGACCTGGGTTCAGGATCAACTTGATGATGAAACTCTTTTTCCTTCTAAGATTGGTGAGTTAATGTTGTAGAACTATTTCTTTATGAATCATGCAGTTTGTTTTATGTGCTCTGTTATGTTGAAGTACTAGAATTTGACATGATGATACACATCTATAGTCCCAGCACTTAGGAGGCTAAAACAGGATTGAGCTCAAGGCCATCCTGAGGTACTTTAATGAGACCTTATCTCAAAAAAAAATTTTTTTTTTTTATAAATAGAGACTGCCATATTTTTCTCTAAAAAGTTTGTACCACTATGTATGCCCTCAAGAATGTTTGTGTCTGCCTGTGTTTCTTTTTCAGGGGTGTCCTTTTTTGAGACACAGTCTTTCTCTATAACCCAGACTGGCCCCAAACTTACAGTGATCTTCCTGCCTCAGCTTTACAAATACTGTGATTACAGGCCTGCGCTACCATGCCTGGCTCTGTCTGTGTTTCTTTACCATACTGATTATGACTCACTTTTTCCTTTTAGTCTTTTGAAAATTGAAGGAATACATTTTGGCTTCAGTGTACATCTAAAAAATACTGATAAAATAGAATGTATTTTGTGTTATTGATCACTTTATGTTTTCTGTTTATACCTTTTGTCCATTCCATTTCCATGTTGGGGATATTGGCTTTTATTTTCCTCACATTGTCTTTTATCTGATTTGCTGATGGACTGTTTTGCTCTGTACATCTCCATTTGGTCTTACTGATCATTTCCATATGACTTGAGTTTTAATACACTGATGAAAAATTTTTTCCCTACTTCTGGATTATAAAAAAGTTTATGTATTCATTTAGCACTTTTGTGACAGTTTTTTTCTCTTTAACACTTTGGTCTGTCAGGAGTTTTTCTTCTGAATGCTGTTTTCATTATTTTCCAGACAGAAAATGTAGTCAGTTTCCCCAGTTCTATTATTGAATAGCATGCGTCTTTTCTGCCCTGATTATCTTATGTGCACAGTAAATAACAGTGTATTTGGGGATCTTTTAATCTTATCATTTCCTGTGGCAATTTCAGTTATTTCACATGACCATGTTTCTTTTACCATCTTCCAAGGGTAGTCTCCTTTTCCTTCTCTTCTTTTTCAGAATATCCACAGCTGTTCTGAGGTATTTGTCTTTCCCAAGAACTTAGAATCATTTTCTCAAGGTAAAAAAATAAATAAATAAAACCAACAAAATCTTGAGATTGCATCTAACTTTCATGCACAAATAAATTCTTATTCTCTTCATACTGAGTCTTCTAGCCAAGAATAAGATAGTCTTCATTTGTTCTTATCTTTTATTTACTAAGTCCTATTTATGTTAATTTTTTTTCTTTCCAGTATTGGGGATTGAACTCAGGACCTTGCGCTTGCAACATGGGTGCTTATGTCGCTGAGCTATCTCCCTGGCTTTGTTAATTCTTTTTTTTTTTTTTTTTTTGGTGGAGCCGGGGATTGAACCCTGGCCCTTGCGCTTGCCAGGGAAGCGCTTACTCTACTGAGCTATCTCCCCGGCCCTGTGTTAATTCTTAAAGTTCCTTAAGTTTATTCGTAGGTATTTTGGGGATTTTTTAGGTATTTTTGAGATAGGGTCTTTGCTATGTAATTTAGGCCAGCCTTGGACTCACAATATATGTTTCATACTGGCCTCAAACTCGGATTTGCCTCAGTCTCCAACCTGCTGAGATCACAGGTGTGAGCCACAACACGCAGCTTATTTTAGGCATTTTATTCTTTCTTTTTGATACTTGGTTTCTTTCTTTTTCTTTTGTTTTTATCTTTTTGAGATAGAGTTAGCCCTGAATTCACTTTGTAGCCCAGGCAGCCCAGGCTGGTCTCAAACTCAAAGGGATGCCTCCTGAGTGCTGTGATTACAGGCATGCACCACTATGCCTGGTCTAATTTTTGGTTTCTAACTGATTATTTGATATATTCAAAAACTGTTGGTTTTTGTAGCTGTTAGACTCTATCTTGTTAATTCTTGGTTCTCAAGTTTTTGAAGTATGCAGTTTTATCAAGTGAACATAATGCTAATTTGACCTCCCTCTTTCTGATACATATATTCTTTTTAGTTTATGTCTACCTAACTGCACTGACCAGTACTTCTAGAACAATCTTATGTGCACAGTAAATCATATATTTGGGGATCTTTTAATACAGCGATAATAGCAAAAATGTATGTCAAGTGTTACACTTGATCTGTTTGATATTGGTCACTTTTTCCATTCTGTTATTAAACCTTTTCCTTACAAATTTTATTATATACTGCCTCACAATTTGACTGTTGGATATAGCCTGGAAAGTACTTAGATTAAAGGTACTTTCTTTTTGCTCCGAATGCCCTCAGGGCTGGTTTGGCTAGCTGCACTGTTGTGGGGATCGACTTACAGCAACCTGAGGCTGACAGCTTTGTGGAAGCAGCCACTTAAAGAACTGAGCTAGGGCCAGGCCCCCTAAAGGTACTTTCTTGAAGATCTTAAGGGAGATAAAAATTTTTTCTTTACTTCATCCTTTTTTTTGTTTTTTTTGTTTTTTGGTAGTACCAGGGATTGAACTCAGGCCCTTGTGCTTGCCAGGGAAGTGCTTATTCTACTGAGCTATCTCCCCGGCCCTCATCCTTCTTTTTCTCAGCTTCCTATTCTTCATTAATTTACTCCCAGGTTCTGGAATTCCCTGAATCCATTAGGCTATTGTCTACATACTACTTTTGCTAGTTATGTTATCAGACATAACTGTTTATTATTAACTTTTACTACTATACTTAATTATTATTTTTTATTATGTATTAAGTACAGGGTCTACAGGGTCCCACTACACAGATCGTACTCGTAGTGATTCTTCTGTTTTCAGCCTCCCAAGTGCTAGGATTACAGGCGTTTACCACCACACCCCGTCTCATTTGCCATCCCAGGGGCAGGGCTGGTATGGCATGTTGGGGATCTAACTGCTGGCCTCTGCATCTGCCTAAGCAGACGCTTTAATCTGCTATCTGCTGAGCTGTCTGGCTGGCCCTACTCAGATTATTAATATGATTAATAAGATACTTCTATACATTCTGAGAGAAGAGGGTTGATTTTTTTTTTTTTTTTTTTTCCAGAACCGGGGATTAAACTCAGGCCCTTGCGCTTGACAAGAAAGCATTTATTCTACTGAGTTATCTCCCTGGCCCAGGGGTTTGATTTTTAAAATATTTTTTCAATACATGAATATAGGATCATGCTCAGAGAAACATGACCATGTGCTCCTGTATAATATTTGAAAAGTCAAGTTAGCTAGGACTTGGAGGGATAATACAAAACCCAGTGACGTATACCAAATTTCAAGTTGCTAAGGGCTGGCTAAGAGAAAAAGAAAACAAAATTCAGGGAAAGAGTGTTGGAGTAAGCCTTTGCCTTCGTTTTCTGGAAGGGTGAAAAAAGGTGTTTCAAGAGTTGTGTCCAGGAATAGGCCTTAAAGGCCATGAACCTTTGTTATTTTGGAAGCAGATACCTTCTAGTGCTTATTTACTGTAGCCAGTTGTTATGGTTTGGGTCTAGTTGTCCCCCCAAAGCCTCATGCAGCCATGGGGCTGCTTCTGGAGTTTGTGATTATTGTGGGTATGGATGCTGAACCTGCCCTGGGGCAGGTAATTTGCATTACAGTGTACGGCTACTGAGGCTAGCTAGCTGCCTGAGCTGCTGCTACACCCCTTTGCTCTCTGCTCTTTGCCACCACGTGGAAAGGTTGCTCTGCCATGTGCAGCTCTGCCTCGGAGCCAGTGAGTATGGACAGACCCCTCCAGTAACTGTGAGCTGATAAGCCTTTCCTTCCTATATTTTGGGTGTCGGGTATTCGTCCCAGCATGAGAGAAGAGTAACCAAGACAACAGTGCAGTTGGGAGCGCCTTTATCCTTCTGTTTTCTAAGAGACTTTGATATTCTCAGCTGAATTGTCAAGAATGCAGCCATTTGCTTCTGTGAGAGGATGCCACCATTCAAAATAGCCCAGGAAACCCTCCTTGTTTACTAAAGAGATGTTTATTTTCTTTGAAAAACAGGGAAGTCCCTCTCTCTTTTTTTTTTTTTTTTTTTAGGAAGTACACTATTTTTAGGCAGCAGGAAAATGGAAACAGCTTTCCGAGTATTGAGAAGATAAAACACCTTAGTTTAACTTTTAGATAGATGATGATTTAAAGTAGACCTGTCTTTTTCTAGTGCCAATTGAACATTTGTGGGTGTGTGCACATGTGGGTGGTTTTTTGTTTTGTTTTGTTTTTGTGGCTGGCTCAGCCTGTCCTGGGGGTGGGGCTGGCAAGGCATGTGGTGCTGGGATTGAACTAAACTGTGATCCCTGTTCTGTAGACCACTGAGCTATCTTGCCAGTGTGGGTGTTTTGTTTTTTTTTGTTTTTTTTTTTTTGCAAAACTGGGAATTGAAGTCAGGCCCTTCTGCTTGCCAGGCAAGTGCTTATTACACTGAGCTGTCTCCCCGGCCAAGTTTTTAAGTTAACTAAATTGCAAAATAGTTTTATTACAAAATTCATACTTGCTGCATTTGAACTTTAAGAAGAGACCATAATATTAAACAACTAAAATTATGTTTATTTGAAGTTTGATTTGGTAGCATCTTATGTAATCTGATGCTTATACCTATGGATCTATGGCAAGTAGAAAAAATGTGTGGCCTGTGGAATATATAGGTTTGGGGATTTTCTTCCTTTATCTCTTAAATAGACGATAATAGGCTTGTGTGTGTGTTGGTGGTGTGTTTATTTGTTGCAGTTGGTCTTGGCAGTGTTGAAATTTGATGCTGAATATTAGGTTGAAGGTAAGTACAACCACTATAGAAATCAATATAAAGATTCTTCAGAAACTTAAAAGTAGAAATTCTGTTTGACCAAACTCTGCTGGCATATTCTTGAAAAAGTTAAAGGCATCCTACTATAGTGACATGTGAATACACATGTATAACAGTAAGTTCACAATAGCTAAGTTGTAGAAACAGCCTAGGTGCCTGGCAACATATGAATGAATAAAGCAATGTGGAACACCATGGAATATTACTCAGCTATGAAGAACAAATTTACAAATTTGTAGGAAAAGATATGAAATTTGAGACCATAATGTCAAGTGAAATACACCAGACACAGAAAGTTAAATACTGTATGGGTTCTCTTATATGAGAAAGCTAAAATATAAATAAATAAAAGTAAAATAAATGAAAGGTGACAGGAGGGCTGGGGAGATAGGTCAGTAGAATAAGCGCTTGACTGGCAAGTGTAGGGTCCTGAGTTCAATCCCCGGTACTGCAAAAAAAAAGAAAAAGAAAGATGGTAGGAAACAAAAAGGTGAACTTTTTGCAGAGGGAGAAAAGGATGGAGGAGTTAGGAAGAGGCGGGAAGGAGATTGAAAATGACATGATATGTACAATCCTCCCAAATCAATGTAACTGTTACACTCATTTTTTAAAAAAAATTGACTGAAACATTTATGTCTGTTTGTTTCTAGGTGTCCCATTTCCCAAAAACTTCATGTCCGTGGCAAAGACGATTCTAAAACGTCTCTTCAGGGTTTATGCGCACATTTACCACCAGCACTTTGATTCTGTGATGCAGCTGCAGGAGGAGGCCCACCTCAACACCTCCTTTAAGCACTTTATTTTCTTTGTTCAGGTAAGGGAGCCATGTTGATTTCTGAACAGTGGTTATTAGTACAGAGAGGCTAAGTATAAGTAGTGTTTTCTCTTCAGTTTTATTTTCTACTTTGTTTTATTGATTTGTGTAGCAGCATAAGATAGTGTCATCCACCAGAGGCTTACAAGTTTGAGGCCAGCCTGGGCAACTTAGATCCCATTTCAACACTATAACAGATAAAAGACTGGGAATGTAGCACAATGGTAGAGCATGTATCTTATATGAGGCCTTGGGTTCAACCCCCAGTTTGAGCAAAAACACATCCCCTTCCCTTTTGGGCCCTCTACCTCTAGCCTTCCCAGGTCTCTAGTTAGGGGATGTCATTTTAATATGTGCTCTGTTGTGAGCTAAGTCAAAGGATATTATGAGTTGTTTTTTCTAAACTCAAACCTCAGTATTCATTTTAATTGCAGTGTTGCCACTTTGTGGCAAATTAGTGGGTTTGGGGTTATGGTGTGGGCACTTGTCTCTAAAAGGTTCGCCATCGCTGCACTGGAGGTGTAGGGTTGGAAGGTAGGGGTGCGGGCGAAGTCCCAGCATCTTGTTGCTCATGCCTTGGTCTTCCCAGTGACCAGCCCCAACCTGATGTTCTTTCAGGGCCCCACAGCCACTGGCCATCACTTAGCACACCAGGGACACTTGTCGCTCCAGACAGTCCACACTTCTTAGGAGCTGTATGTCAGAAGGGAGGAAAACTGGTATACGTCACAAGATAGTACCTGTGTTTTTTAAAAAGAGTAAAAATGATTCTGTTTTAAAATGTTCATAGAGATCACTTGATCATTCTTTTGAATTTCAGAAAACTAAGATTAGAAATCTCTTTTAAAAACATTTAAAGTTTTAATTTAGGTCCAATTTTAAATTTTATTTCTCTTCTGTTTTTAGGAGTTTAATCTGATTGATAGGCGTGAGCTGGCACCTCTTCAGGAATTAATTGAGAAGCTTGGATCAAAAGACAGATAAATGTTTCTTCTAGAACACAGTTATCCTCTTGCTTCCTCTACTGCTAGAGCTATCTCATTGCTATTTGTTGTAGACTAGTGATACAGACTTTAAGAAGACAGGATAAAAGGACAATCCTGTATGTCTCTGCAGTAAAACTGTCCCAAAGGTAGGTTGTCTGGTAGCTTCAGAGACCGTCAGGACACAGTCGACAAATCAGAGGTGCGTGTGAGCACTCCTGGTAGCGTCAGAGTCATACTCACTTGTAGCGTGGTGACTAACCTGTAGTTTATTAGTTTACTTATTTTTTTTACTCACTGAAATTATTGCATCTGTTTGAAGTGGCAGCATAATGGATATTAAGGGTTTTTATCATTAGTAAGTTCCCAGAATAAATTTCCTAATAAAATCAGGTTGGTTTTATTCTATTAAAACCACAAAATTGGTTTTATTCTGCTTTTATTTTATTAATAGAAATGGCATTTTTAAGTTTCATCAAGATTTAGAACTTCTAGTCAGGGTGTGGTGGTGCATGACTGTAATCCCAGCACTTGGGAGGCTGAGGCAGGAAGACAGTAAGTTTGAGCCCAGCCTGGGTTATGTAGATGTAGCAAGACCCTGTTTCAAAAAAAAAAAAAAAGAAAAGTAGAACTTTTGTGTCACTTTGGATAACCTTTTAGTTTCAAGTTTGTATGCTTGTGTTTTTACAGATAAAGAGTATATATATTTTTCAAAATTCATAATTGCAGTTTAAATCATGGCATATGTGGAGTAGGAGTAACCAAGTTTATTTTTAAATTTGTTTCATTTTTAATCTTTGTTTGGGATTATATACATGTCTACCTAAATTATTAGGGATATTCATATATCAGAAACAATATTTTTACTGAGGATAGTCTCATAGGTTTTCATTTATAAATGCTTTTTAAAAATTAATATGTGGGGGCCGGGGAGATAGCTCAGTGGAATAAGCACTTCCCTGGCAAGCGCAAGGTCCTGAGTTCAATTCCCGGTTCCACCAAAAAAAAAAAAAAAAAAAAAAATTAATATGTGGCTTTTGGCTGAGAAAAAGAAAACTAGAAATATATGACCAACTTAGGTCTCAGAGCCACCACTATTTTTATTCACATTGTCTTTCAGAGACCTTGCAGTTTTGGTAACAGTAAAAGAAAGTATTCAGAGTACTTGTTTCCTGTACAAATCACCTCTGTGGCTTTTTGTGTTCTGACCCTGGGGGTGGCAAGGCAGGGTAGTCAGGGTCTAGGTTTTCCAGGCTGGCCTTGAACTTGTGATCCTCCTGTCTTAGCCTCCAGAGTGGTTGGGATTGCAGGCATGTGCCACCATGTCTGGCTTTGTTTTTTATTGTGACTTGAGACTTAGGAATAGTATGACAAAATAAGAGAAAAAATAAGTAAAAATAAATAAAAATCTTAATAGATTGAACTTCAATAGGGTTTTATTCTGTTTTATTTTTGTATCAACACTTGAAATTTTCTGTTTTTATTAGGGTAGTATTATCATCCTCTTTAGTGAAGAAGATGCCTTTTTCATCAGGTTCCTTGGATTTAAATGTCCTTAACTATTTAAATGTACTGAGGCATACTAGGTACCTGGAGATGTGCCAGACAGGCATGCTTTTCTTCATCAACAGCCCTTATCAGAGCTGTGATTTTTGCACCAACTTCATGGCTTTGATATTTGATAAGGGTTTTTTTTGTTACTTATTATTCCACTAGATTAAGAAAAAAAGGATTGCTTAGAAGCTCCTTTGGTTTTTTGAGACAAGGTCTCGCTGTGTAGTCCAGGCTGAGTGTTGAACTCCCTGTGTAGCTCAGGCTAGCCTTGAACTCCCAGCAGTCCTCCTGTCTCTGCCTCCCAAGTCCAGAATTACTGGTATACACCACCACATCCAGCAGAAACTCCATTTTTAATAACTTAATTTTAATAAATTCTTAAAGATGTACAAATATTAAAGGAAGTATTTGATTCTAACAGGTTAAAACCACTGTTTGAGGAATTCTAAAGTGGCATGATCACCTACCAATTAAAAAGAGAAAATCCCTGTGTGAACCATTCCACAGCCCATGTTGTAAACTTACCCGGAGGACCAATCATCAGCTGTTTTGTCCATTTAATTTGTTTTTTTTGGAAACAAAACAAATTTCCAGGTGCATCTCCATTGTAACTGCCTCATTGTATGTTCATTTCTAGTATTTCAGATATTCTCAAATAAAAGGGTTCTTCTCTACATTTATTTAAAGTGATGGAAATCCCTTTCTGGGCCTGGTGAGATGGCTCAGTGGTCTAAAGCACCTACTTAGAACAAGCTTAGCAACGCACAGGGACCGCGGTTCAGTCCCCCAGCACCACATGCCAGCCAGCCCTGCCCCCTGGTGGGCTGAGCTGCCCCCCCCCACACACACACAAGTAAGAAATCCCTTTCTGAGGACTGAGCTCACAAACCAATCAAAGATGATTACATCTTAGGGCAGTAATAAAGCCCACTTATTAGTGGGACATACATCAGAAATTCGTTGGTAATTTTGAAATTTAGAATGCCTTTTTAAAAAAACTTTCCTTTTTTTTTTTTTTTTTAAACAAAAAAAAAAAAATGAGTTTCTGGGTAGGGGAGATAGCTCAGTGGTCTAAATGCCTGCCTGGTAAGCACAAGGACCTGGGTTCGATCCATGGTGGAATCCTGGCCTTGCTGTGCTGGCCAATGAAACTGGGTGTGGTGGTACCCACCTGTAATCCCAGGACTGGGGAGGCTGAAACAGGAGGATCACTACAAGTCTGAGCTGTGTAGTGAGACCCTGTACCAAATAAATAAATGAAGATTTTTTTTTTTTAAATAAATAAACCACCAAGTTTCCAAGCCAGTCTGGTAAACCAACAGTACATTATACTATGTGCTGCTGAGACAGGAAGAAATCTGGAGAAAGAGGAGAGTGAGAAAGGATGGCCCTTCCTCACATGGTGACAGAGCCAGCCTTGGCTAAGGGTTCAAAGAAGTCAGTGAGTGTGCCCTGAGCTTCTCTCACTTTTCACTTTCTGCCCCCACCCAGGGCTCCAACACTCCCTCCTCTTGCCCTGCTACGCAGGCATCCTTTCTGTGGCCGCAGTCTGCTCCTCAGTGGTGCTGACAGTCACGGGTGGAGAGTGCTTGCCAAATGATGCAGGTCCTCCTGTGGTGCTTTAGTTTTCAGGCATTTTAAAAAACTTGGACGATGATGTACAGATACTTGTTCATTCAGATTTCTTCATCCTACTGTTTTTATATTGACAGCCAAATGTATCCTTGTCCTTCATCTTGTGAATAAAAGTGACTCTAGGGCTGGCAGCTAACAGGGTATTCCATTCATCCTAGACTTGCAGAGCTCTAGCTTAGGTGCTGCTTCCTCAAGAAATGCCAATCTGTTTTCACCATGACCTCAATAACAAAGGCAGGTTCTCCAGCAGTGCGGAGGCAAGGAGCCTGACATCTCCAGCATGATGTCTTACCTCATATGAACAAACAGATCAGGCCCAGATGCAAATCCTAGAAATGTGTTTCTAAGCACCTTCAGTCATGGTGCTGGGGCCACCCCTCCCCCCTGTACAGGGAACTCTGGCCTGGAACATGCCAGCCTGTCCCCCAAGCACTGAGCACCTTCAACAGGCACGTGATTCCTCCTGAGTTCGATGCTATGTGGATTTGGTTTCTACTATTGTAGAATTCTGGCAAAGAGGAAAAGTAGTTCTTTGCTCTTTTGTGTTCAGTTTTGATATTTCTGACTGTAAAAGGCTTTGGGTGATGATGTTCCATGTGGTAGCAGTAGTTTTATTAAAGCAGCTGCACTGAAATTCACTTGGATTTTCTTTGCTTATCAGACAAACAAGTATTCTGTAAATCCAAAAGGATCGCCAGTGTGCTAATGAATTTACTATACAGCAACATTCTGTATTTGGTCTGCATTTATATTTGGTCAACATTGAAGATAGCTTGTATAAGTTAATCTTGATTACCATCCAAAATATTTTTAAATGTTCTTTACATTAAAATTTATGTTGTATTTTTACATCTTGGGGGGGGCTTTATCTATTTTTCTAAGTCAGTCAACTGTACTTTAAGAAACGTATTTTGTATCTACTTTTGTAACTTCACCTGAATAAAATATATTGAAAGTAAATGTAAAGGATGTGTCTCAACACACTTCTATTGATGTGGGAACTGGAGAGTTTTGCTGGTTCTGTGAACTCTTGAGTAGAACTTAAATTTGCAATGTTATCATTGGATATAATTTAGTAGCCAAAATTTTTTTTAGCTCTTAAGGAGAAATTCCATAATAAGCTAAATGCCAGAACCCCACTCCCAAAACACAAGCTGGTTTTAATTATCATTACTGACACCCTCCCCAGAAATAACAGACATAACTAGGCTCCTTCTCTCCTACCATGCTAGATCTCTTTTTGCATATTGCTGAGTGGGGGAAAAGAGAAAATGGGACTTAATAAACCCTGAAGTTGAGTAGTAGCACATCACCTTATAACTTTCTATGCCCCAAACAATTATTGTTCATTATTGTAGGAGAAATATTAGCAGAATTAGCTTTAGACAAATTACTGTTGATTTCTAGGTTTGAAGTAGCAGTGCTAGAATTGTTTTGACCTTTTTATTCAGCAGGGTTAAAAAATGAATGTGACATATTGGTTAATGTTCAATTTGCATAAAACAAGCTAGTAATTAGTTTGGGATTTTTGTTTCTTTCAGACATAAAAGTGTAAGAGTGAAGTTTGTAAGAGTATCTAATGGCTGAGTCTCTGAAAGGTATTTCAGACTTTATTTTAAAAGGTAAAACAAAACAGTAGATTAACCCAAATAATTATCTTTGGGCCAGTTGGGCTTTACAGTGCCACAGCCAGAAACAGTGTTCAAACAGGGCTGGGGCCTTCTGCAAATCCCCAGAGTACCTTATCTCCCTTAGGGATGGTTCCTTCAGCCTGCAGTGACCACTAGATGTCAGTGTCTGCTATGAGGCCTCAAAGCTAAGCGCCTCTGCCCTGGCCCTCTGTGCTGTCAATCAGAAACTCCCTTGGATGCCACTGTCCTGCAGCAGAGGGGACTGGGTTTTACTTGGGGCTGTGAAGCTTATGCCAAAATTGAAAGATGGTAGGTAGTCCATCTTTGCACTGGCTGCCATCTAAGCCTGTTCTTCCTGTTCTGTGGGGGGGGGGGATGAGTTTTCAGCTGAATATAAGTAACTGATGTAATGGCTTAGCTCAGTTGACTTTTGGTAGCCACTTGCTAAATGAAGGGAGATTATTGGTTTAGATTCAAGCCAAGCTCCTTATCGCCAGCCTGTACTTTGAATGTCACTTCCTTAGGGGAAATGAGCCTGTTTTACGCAAGTCTAGTAGTACGCTATTTCTCATGTAATCCTTTCAGCAGTCTGGGGAAGTGGTAATGCAGAAGTAGCTGGTTTTTCAGTGGTTTTTACAAAAGCTCCGACAGATTCAAAGAACTGTACACAGCAAGCTGGTCTAGATTTAGATTGCATTTGCAAAAATTAACATGTTCCTGAGTGCTAGGAGGCTCTATTTTTAAAAATGGCTACAATTTTAAAAAATCATCCTAATGAGGAAGAAAGGAGCTTCATCTAAAGAGGGCCTACCTAAGGAGTTTTCTGCCAATGTAAATACCTTTAGGAAAAGTAGGAGTCATGGGCCAGTATAAATAATTCATAGCAAAAAAAATGTGGGAAGAATCCTGGGAATAAAGACATTTTAATCATAGCAAAGTAAAACTTGTCTTTTATTTGCTTTTACCATAAAAGTTATACCTGAACTGTTATATTGGGAAGGCCAAGAGTGATGAGGATTTCCTGCATCCTTTAAAGATTCAAATTCAATTCCAACCTGTGGCGCTCCAGTTGCTCTAAGAATCCTGTTCAGTAACCACTGTACATGCACTTTCTGCTCCCTGCTGTGTACTGGTGATGTAGATAACTGAGCAAAATCCTGAACGTACATGGCCTACATGCCATCTGGGTATGGTGGTGCACACACCTACAATCCCAGTACCTGGGAGACTGAGGCAGGAGGATTACCATGAGTTTGAGTCCAGCCTAGGCTACATAGGTCAAGGGCAGCTTAAGAACCCGTCTCAAAAGATAATTCTAAAGGTCCATAAAGACAGTACAAATGTAGATGTTTCAGGCCTGACATTTTGAGTTACCAGAGGTGTCTCCTGGGGAAACAAGGTTGCACTGGCATAGAAGATGGGCATTTGTATAGCCAGTGTTATGGCGTAGGGTGAGGAGGAGGAATGTTCCAGTATTCCTGAAGCTTAAGCAGCAGCAGAACAGGCAGGGATTAAATTATGAAGGCTACACTATTGCTGGTTAGGGGATAGTGAGGGATTTTAGGTAGTAAAAGTTTTCATTTCAGGAGGCTTTGTCAGCCATGTGTAAACTTAAGGGTAAGGAGAGGCAGAGAGTCAGCAATTCAAAGTTGGATTATGTGGGCACCTGTTAAATCATGGGGAAAGAAGGTTGGCCATGCACACACTCCACTTTTAATAAAGGGAGAAATTCCACAAATACAAATCAGTGTAGTCAGGGCTGCTTAGTTAAAACTAAGAAGCGGCAAACTCAACCTGATTGAGTGCTTATTTCCAGGGCTTTTGCTTCCCGTTGCCCAACTAGTCAAACATCTGCCATCTCGTCTTTTTTTTTTTTTTGTATTTAGTACATGGCAAAATAATAATAAATAACTTTTGGGGCTGGGGAGATGGCTCAGTAGAATAAGCACTTGCCTGGCAAGTGCAGGGGCCTGATTTCAATCCCCGGTTCCACCAAAAAATAAAAATAAAATGTATTTAGTACATGGTCTCATTATATAGATCGGACTCGTGGTGATCCTCCTATTTACAGCCTCCGAAAGTGCTGGGTTTACAGGCGTGTGCCATGTCTTAGTTCTGCTTTCTTCTGTATCTGTTTCATTTCCATGGCAGTTCTGTCCACATGGTTGCAAAGTCGATTGCCAGCAGCTCCAGGCCTTCTACTACTTTAGTATCATAGTTGAAAAAGTTCATTTCTTCAGTTCTGGAGTCCCTGTACGGACTGTCACTGTATTGGCTCAAATCACATGACCATCACTAAACCAGTTCCCTTCTCCTTAGCTAGATCTTATGTCCTCTCAAGAGCTGGGGATGGGTCTGCCTTTCTCAACCAGAATATGAACAACCAGCTTTTTTTTTTTGGACAGTTTTGTGTCAAAAAATGAGAATAAAATTTAAAAGTTAACATATTACCATACTAATAACTTTTGAGTCACTCTTTGACAGTGTACTAACAGTAATGCAAAAATGATGTGGGCTGGTGCAGAGTCACAGTACTGGAACGAATGTGTATTTTTAATCAATCACTAAAGAGCAAGTGTGCCCACGCACAGCCAAGTCCAGCGGTTAAAGCTGAGAAGTGCTGCAGAGTAGTGCTAAGCCCCAGGCAAACAAATACAGCTATAGTGAGGGCGTGGTTGTTTCTCAGCCTTGACTCTGACTACTCCAGAGAAGGGCCAATGTGCTGACGTCCATTCTTCACAGCTTCAGGTTGCCTTGCAGTCGCATGAGTCCCCAGTTTGCGGCCCCAATCTAATTTTCTTCTAAGTAGTGTCTGGCAGGACCTTGAATTCGGTCAAATCCAAAACAACTTCATTAGCTTCCTCCCCCATCTATCTGTCCCTTTCTTTGTCCAAGGCTAAAACCTGGAAATCGCCTCCAACCTTCCTCACCGCCCCCCTATATCCAGTCCCTCTATTCTAGTCACCTCCCAGAGTCACAGGCACCTGCCCCATCCCTTCTGCAGCTGGGTTAGTTCAGGTCCCTCATTTCTCACCTGCACTATGCATTAGCTTGGGGGCTGTGTCTGCCTCCACTTAGACTCTCGCCCGTCCCGCAGTCGAAGTCAGGACCAGGTTTTTGCAACGCAAATCTGAAAGCCACTTCTCTGCTTAAATCCCACCTCGAGTCCCCTTACTTGGGCGGAAACCCTTGCTCCTCACGTCGGGAGCCGGACGCCAGACGAGTCGTGAGCAAGGTTCTCAGGTGCGCTGGGGCCCTCGGGTAAGACGGCGCGCCCAGAGTCGTGAGGGCGGAGGACCGCTCGGGAACCAGATCCGGTAGGCTGGAGGAGCTGGCAAGGGCGGAGGGCTGCCGAGGCCCGCAGGTGCTGCAGTTCGGGAGCTAGTGTCCCCTGGTCGGGGCCGGGAGGGGGCGGGGCGAGGGCGGGCGGGTCGGCGGCCTCCGGGCGGCAGGGGGCGGGCTCACCCGCGGGAAGCTCTGTCCTCTGCCCGCGCCTTTACCTCGGGCTGTGGGCCGCGTCGGCCGGGCATGGCGGCGTGGAGCCCGGCCGCGGGGGCGCCCCTGTTCCAACGGAGTCGCCGGGTGAGCGCGCGGGCGGGGCCTGCAACGGGCCGGGACCCCGCCGTCTTCCTCTCACTCGGGTCGCGGGTCGCGGGCCTGGCGCGCTCGGCGGGGATAGAAGCGGGGTGCGGGTCAGGAGCACAGGCAACGCACAGCGGGCACGGGAAAGAAAAATGCTGGATTTTGGAGCAGGAAGCCGTAGGACTCACGGCCCGGGGCCCAGGGGTGGGTGCGGGGCACTGCGGAGCTCCGGGCCCTGAACCTCTGACCTTCAGCCTCCAGATCCGCAGCCCGAGCAGAAGCCTGGTGGAGGGCGCTGCCACGCGCTGCCCACTTCCTCCCCCGCTGCCTCGTCCTTTGCTTCATGCCACCCGCTTTCCTCTTCCCGCTCGCTTTCCTGCTGGCCTTGAACCTGCCCCCCCCCCCCATGCTGAGGCGTCCACCGTGACCGGTCACCTAGACACTCGTCGGCCTGTCACAGGCCGGCTAGGACGATAGGCTTCTGCAGATCCTACGGCCCCTCGTGTTGGCCTAGCCTGCCTGCCGTGGGGTTACCCCCCCCCACACACACACCTCTATCCCCAGACGCAGCCGCCCTGCCCCCGCAACACCTCCTAGGCTCACAGTGTGCAGTTGCTGCCCTCCATACAGCAGAGACCTCTAGCCCCAGACTCTTCTGACCCATATTTCTCCTGCTCAGCAGGCTTGTTTGCTGAGCCAGTGAGCATGCCCTTATCTGCTCATTCATCCTCCATCCATCCGTGCCAAGGGCCCAGAGGGCCTCCCCAGGGTCAGCCCCAGGAAGCTGCCATAGCAGGAGAGACAGCCAGTGCACAGCTCTGAGGCCTTAACAGCACCAGCACCGAGTCCTGAGGACAGGCGGGACTGAGAGGTGACAAAGTGGCACCTTCAGCACCAGCACCTGCCAACAGCCATGATGGCGTGTCTCCCAACCCCCATCCCCAGGTGGAAAGCAGCGCCTGGTGCTCCTCCCTTCCTAAAGCCTCCCACCTGGGGCCCAGATAGCTCAGTGGCATAAGTGTCTACCTGGCAAGGGCAAGGGCCTGAGTTCAATTCCATTTATCAAAAATAACAAAAACCCAAAACTAAAGCCTTCCACTTGGGGTTGCTCCTGAGCTGCTGCTCCAGGCACTGTTGCCTGCTGCTTGCTCCACTGCTGGAAGGCCACTTCACTTGGATCACAACACCTGTCTAAAAAGCCCAGAACCTCTAGCCTGGCATTCAAGTCCTGCCATACTCCAGTTTCAGCCCCTAATGAGCATATATTTAGTCCAGCCAGGTGTCTGCTCCCCAGTTTTCTGTTCCTTCCCTTCTAAGGGTTCAGACATGTCCCCGCTGGAGTTCTGCCTTCCATGGTGGCCATCCAGGAAGGGGGCATTGTTGATGGTGGTGAATAAAAAATGTTACTTCTTCAGCTTGTTCCATAGGACTTGGCCTCTTCTGTCCCTTGAGTTGGTGCATGGTGTGTAGAGGGCTGCTGGCATGGTGGTGAGGGCACACTTTATGGGGCTGGGTGCCTGACGGTCAGGCAGAAAGGGCTGTAGAGCACAGTGCTAGCATGATGGGTCTGAGACAGGCTGCCTGGCCTCTGTCCTGGCTCTGCGTCTTGCTAGTAGGTGCAGTCTTGGTCATATTCCTACGTGCTTCTGTTTCTTTGTCTGTAAAACTGTCATAGGGAGTTAAACACCTGTTGAAAAAGGCCTTTAGCTTAGTCTCTGCAGTCGGTGTTGTTTGAAGTTATACTCCTCAAAAATCAACCACAAAAATCTATTCCATGTCCTGGGGAACCAAATGGTCACCCAACACCATATAGCCCTTCTGACAGCCTGTGGCTGTGTGGGTGGAATGGCTGTGGGGGCCCGCCTAGTGGCCAGCCCTGGGGGGCAGTGGTACCTTGCTCTGTCATAGCCCTCTTCTCTGTTCTGTGGCAGCTTCCTCTTGTCTACTGTGTGCATCGGTTGTTTGCTTCCCAGACGGAGGGGGAGCTCAAAGTGACTGAGGTTCTCAGAGAAAAGTTTCCTCGAGCTACGGCTATCAAGGTCACTGACATTTCAGGTAAGGCTTTCTCTTACCCTTCCTGAGGAGCTTTGGGAAGATTTTGCCCTGAGGAGGGGCAGAGGGCAAGGAGACTTGGAGGAGGGAACTCATTGCCAGTGAGGAATCAGGAATGTCAGACAGAACCTGGGGGGACAAGGCCCAGCTGCAGGGATCCAAGGTTGCCTACCTGGGCCTGCTTGGACAAGGACTCTCAGTCACTGCTGACCTCAGGTATATAGTCTCTTATGTGACAGCAGTATGGACCTCACTTTAATTTTCTCATTAGTCTGTCTCCTAGAATGAAGCTCAAATGGTTTTGTCAACTGCTGTACTTTCCTCAGGAGGAAATAGGGCCTCAAGGGCAAAGGACCTTTCTACCCCCTTCCATCCAGCGAGGCCCTGCCCTCCCCAGTTCACACTGGCTGTGTTAGGCACGCAGACTCCATACCCGCAGGAGAGGGAAGATAGGCCCTTTATCCCATCACACACAGGGACAGCATAGCTGGGGACAGCTAGATAGGGGTCCAGCCACACCCAGAGGACTAGGCCATTCTGTAGCTCACTGGCTTCCCAAAGAGCATAGTATTTACACAGATTGGCAGAACATTTTGAGAGTGGATTCTATTCATGCAACTACAGGAAGCTCATGCAAAGATCTTTTGGAATTGAATATCAGGTAAGGGCTCTGCCAGTCCTGGAGCAGTGCTTAAACTTTGATATTACCAGCTCTGTACCTGCCTCAGGCCCAGGGCAGACCTGGAACTTGACCTTCAGGATGGCTGTGCTCAGCCCTGGATGAAGTATAGAAAAGTGGTTGTGATGTGATTATATATAGATATACATATAGTTTTTGGTGGTATGGTAGTAGTGAGTGTTGAACCCAGCACTGTACATTCCCTCTTTGAGATAGTTTTGCAAAGTTGACTAGGAACTTGTGATCCTCTTGCTTTAACCTCCTAGAATGCTGGGATTGCAGACATATACCACCAGTCTCTGGCCTATCACTTAATCCCTGAGACAGGCCGGAGAGAGAATTTTTCTTCCCCAAGGTGGGTAGGTCATAGAAACTCTAACCTTCTCACACCTGTCTTGGTACTGTCCACAGAGACTCTCTGATGGTAAGGTCCCTATTTCAGAAGGCCCTTGTCTGAGCAGAATCAGATTGGCAACCTTGGCGCCTCCAACTGGGCCTTGCCCGCAGCCCACACAGAAGGATTGCTGCCTAGAGAGGTCATGAAGAATCAGAACAGACTGAGTTGCCCTGGTTCCCATAAAAGTGAGCACAGGGAGGTTCTGAGTGTGGCAACCTACGGAAGTCAGTGGAGCTCTGCACCCCTAGCCATACCTATCTTGTGCATCTCTTCACTTACCATAAAGCAGTGTGTGTATTCATGTCTGTGAGCTGCTGAAGCAAAGTGATCAAACTCAAGGAGCGGGTTTAGGAACTTCAACTGATAGTGGTCAGAAGCACCAGTCAAACAACCCAGGGCTTGTGACTGGTGCCTGCTGGTAGGCGGTGTTGGAACTGAATCTGATTAGCGAGTGCCTGGGGGTCTGCTGCTGCAGGACTGCCTGCTTGCTGTGTGGAGAGGCCCCCACAGGTGGGTCATGGAAGTTGTCCATGTTGCGAGCATGTAGTAGGAGAAACCGAGTGTGAGAGGGTTTCCCTTCTCTGTCTTTAGTCACTGAGGTTGGGAATCTGTATGCAGCCAAAATGTGGATACTGTAAGGGAAACAAAATGAGTCAAGTGTGGGGCTTACACCTCAGGAGGCCGAGGCAGGAGGATCACCATGAATTAAAGGCCAACCAGAGCTGCATAGTGAGTTTGACCACCTAGAACTACATGAGACCCTGTTTCCAAAAAGCAGAACAAAGCCCGTTGGATAGGTCTCACTTCTCGTGTGGTGGCCTGGCGCTCTTGGCACAGCCTGGCCCCTGTTGGGTGCCAGCACAGCTCACACATTATCCTCAGGAGCTGCACACTTGGGCTGGGCTGGAAGGGCCCACCCCGAGGGCCCCGTCTTAGGTGCATTCCACCCAGCAGGTGCTAGCCCAGCCCCAAGTGTCTCCCTGCTCAGGGACCTCACTGGGTCCCTGGCCCTCGCGCTGCTTTGTTCTTGTCTTTTGGATGAGTTTACACACACAGCTTTGAAACTGAATGTTAGTGCATTTCTGCACTTTCAAAAAAGCTTATTCCAGGTCCCTTAGAAGGTGCAAGACTAAAACAGCCTTCCCACCCGCCCACTCCCGTGGCATTTGTTGGCCACATTCCCTACATTTTCCATGCTCTGCACCTTTGCTTTCCTGTCCACAGTAATAAGTGGGGCAGCGCAGTGGCCTTGCAAAACAAAGCCCCTTGGGGTGGAGGCAGCCTGCCAGGAAGGTGTGCAGTCAGACAGGAAGCTGCAGTCTTCGTTTACACCTCTGGCTGACTTTTCTGATGCTGAATGACAGTCTTCGAGCCGTCTGTATCGCACAGTACACCTCAGGGACACATGGGCTGTGGCTGCCATGCTTAGTAACTGAAGCCCTTTTTGACTTGTGTTTGTTTTAGGAGGCTGTGGGGCGATGTATGAAATTAAAATCGAATCAGAAGAATTTAAGGAGAAGAGAACTGTGCAGCAGCACCAGATGGTTAATCAGGTCAGTGGCAGTTGGGCGGTGCTTTGCCTCTAGCACCTTAGGTATGCTGAGGGGGCGTGGTGGCTTTCACTGTTGGTGCATCAGGAGAGCAGGGAGGGCTTGAGACCTCAGCAAGATCTAATCTGGGACTCTCAGAATGAGATCGTGGGCAAATATAGATTTTATTCAAAATTAAGAACAAGCCACCTAGTGAAAGGAACCTGGCCAGTACTGGTTGAGAGATTGCAGGCAGTCAGGAGAGCTGGCCTATGTTTTCTGATTGGCTTACAGAGAAATATTTAGCTCCCAAAAGGCACCCCTTCAGGAGAATTCAACTTGACTTCAGAGGTTGTTCCCCATCCCCACCATCCCAGCAGTGATTGTCTTATCACAGGAGAAGAAGGTGGGCAGGAAGGTCCCCAGCCCAACCTTCATAGCTTGTTGGGAGCGTGCTGAGGCGGGTGTCTGAAGGTACCGGTGTGGTCATGGGGACTTTGGATGATGACTTTTGGATGTGGTCATGGGAACTTTGAGGACTGTTGGGCTTTAACAGGCTTACATGGTAGGAACAAAAGTGAAACGTTAAGAGCAGATCCATTGGCCTGGATGGGTTGGAGCTAACACCTAGCATTGCCCTGCTCAGGGTGTGCTGGGCACTGAGGTTCTGACAGGCACCCACTGCAGGGGCGGCAGCCCTGGGAGTGATGGGACTCCACTGCCCAGGCCTGTTCCCAGAGCCCTGTGTGTGTGGTCTGTAGGAGCAGGACCCCTGTCTGTCACACTGACGGTCTATCTGGTTGGGGCCCTGAGTGAAGCTTTCCTCTGCAATCTTGCCTGGTGCTTAGTAATGTAATCATAGACTCCAATTCTCAGCTCGGAAGGCCATGAAAAGGCGACCTGGCCTGGATCTTGCCACAGTCCCCTCCCACGCCGACGCCCCAGGGACAGGGTGGCCCTGCTTCCTTGGTTCCCTTCAGGAGTGGACTGTCAGTCTTGGGGGACCTGCTAACACTTGACATGGACCTTGGCCTCTGCATTTGCTCAGGGCCGAGCCCCAAAGAGGCAGGCTGAGAAGTGCTTCAGCAGGGGCACCCCACATTGAGCCTGGCTCTGCATGGAAGGAGCTAGCTTAACAGCACCTGCCCAGTTGCCACCTCCACCTTTGGCTTCTCCTGCTCACAGCCCTTCCTTTGGTCCTGTTGCCCACAGAGCCTGGCCCAGTTTCCTAGCCTAGGACTTTCCTTCCTCAGGGTAGTCTGCCTCTGTCTACCCCATGCGGCTGACGGGAGGCCACGCTTCCCTCACAGAGCCTCCCAATCTCTGCCCTGGGACTCTGTGGCCCTGTCTCTTGTGTCTGTTCTACTCCACCTAGCACTGCCAGGATGCCTTGTCCCCAGCTCCTCCCAGCAGTGTGGCAGGGATGCCATCTCGTGCACATCTGCAGCAGGGTGGAGTCACAGACCGACATGCCACCACTGTGGCCACAGGTCTGCTTTTGTTAGCTGTTATAATACTTTGTCACTTACCCACACCTTATTATCTGTATGCCCAGCACCCAATTTAATGCTGTGGGCACAGGGCTCAAATTGTATCGCCCAGGGCTCTTCAACCTGGTCATTTCCCCTCGCAGGGCCTCAGCTTCCTCAGTTGTGAAGTGATTCCTGCAATCTCCGAGGTTTCTGTAACCTAGAGCAGTGACACAGTGGTGTGCTTGGGGTCCACCCAAGGGCTGCAGAGAGTGGGGAGGTGGTGTTGGGAAGAGGGAGTAGGTAAGCCGGAGGCACCAAAGCCAAGGTGGTTCCTAAAGGCATGACTGGGCTTCTCCCTTAGAAGGAATCTGTAAGGAGGGAGGCTGGCTGCGGCCCAGGTAGACATAGGGGCAGCCTCCAGGGAGCAGCCTGGGCCTGCAGGAGGAGTCCCCAGGGACTGTGTGCTCAGCTCTGTCCTCAGACTTTTTCCATGGACATTTCTTGCTTGTCTGCAGAGTTGAGTGACTCCCCTGTAAATGTTGAAATGAGTTGTTTTGCTGGCCAAGTGGGACAGCTCCAGTCAGATTGGCCAGGACCTCAAGACTCCTGGGCTCATATCCTGACTCTTACTCGCTTGCTGACTTTGTATCAGCAGTAGAGTTTTGATGATAGATAAATAGGAAGGAGAGGAGGGAGGGGGAGGGGAGGAGGAAAGGAAGAGAGGAGAGGAGGGAGGGGGAGGGGAGGAGGAAAGGAAGAGAGGAGAGGAGGAGAGAGGCAGGCTAGAAAAGACTAGCTTTTTTCTAAAGATCCTTCTGACTCTGTAAACCTGATTACTACAATTAGAATTCTCTTTGTTCCTAATAGAGACCAGCGTACAACATAATCAAACCCAGGGAATGAATTGATGTATGTATGAAATCACCTGGTATGTGGCATGCCTACATACAGAGTTTTAAACAAATTCCCCTGCTTGCTGTCTCATTCCATCTTCACTTTCAGCTTGTCTCTCCATGTTGGCCTCATCTTCTAATGAGGATGAGTTTTCTCTTAGTAGAGAACATGGTTCCCAGTCACCTCTGGTTAACCACCTCTGGTTAACCACCTCTGATTAACACTATTCCAGCCTGGTAACCCAAGAGTCAAGGCTCCATACTGAACCAGGAGAGATTCTTATTGGACTAGTTTGGGTCACATGCCACCCATGAGCCAGTCATAGGCTGGGCCAGTCAGGCTTCTTACTTGATAATCCCAGCAGAAGGGTGGAATTAAAGTCTGATAGAGACTTCCCAAGAGAAGGGAGATTGCTGAGCAGACTGGTAACAGAATGTCCACCCACCTTGAGGTTTTGGTGTAGTGAAGGACACCAGGGCTGGGGATGTAGCTCAGCGGCACACTGCTCACCTGGGAAGTGTGAGGTTGTAAGTTTGATTCCAGATATGAAAAATTGAAGGACTCCTCTCCTGTGTATGGACAGTGCACTTGAGCTTTCAAGCCGCCTCCAGCCCTGTAGCTTTCCTCTCTCCCAACAGTGTGGGCGCTCTGGTTACTTCATTGTGATGGCTTGTTCAGATTTGCGTTCTGACAGTGTGGCCTTAAACAAGCCTGAGAATTTCCCATGTGACTTTATTTTCTGCCCTACAGTAAAATCAGAACATTTATGGTAATTGGTGGGGTAATAAAGAACAGCTGCTCATTGCCTGAAATAGAAGATCATAGGAAACAGCCTGCCTAAAGGTCGTGAGGGGCAGGGTGAAAAGTTACCCTACATTCATGTCACAGGATGCAAGGACTGAGGGAACACTTTGTGCCAGATGTGGACAGATCGCCAAGATAGATGGTTAGAGAAAAAGCAGTGCAGAAGCAGTGTGTTTGGAATGTTAAGCATTTGTTGTGCTTGTAAAACATAGTGGGGTAAAAAACAACAACAACAAAAAAGGGCCGGGGAGATAGTTCAGTAGAATAAGCACTTGCCTGGCAAGTGCAAGGGCCTGAGTTCAATCCCTGGTTCCGCCAAAAGAAAAACAAAACAAAAAACCATAGTGGGGTGGAATAGATATTCATATTAGTTCAGATATGTGTTCTCAAAGCCCTGTAGCAGTCCACAAAACAAACAAACAATAACAGTTATCTGTTTGGGGACAGAGGCAGGAACTGAGAAGCAGAGGATGTCGTGCGTGGGAGAGAGATTTTACTATACTTTTTATACCTTCTAATTTTTAAGCTGTGATAGATTTTGTTTGCTTCATGTTTTGAATTTTTTTTTTTTTTGTTTTGTTTTGTTTTGTTTTGTTTTGCTCCTTGAATGCCTTCAGGGCACTTTTGCATGGCTGGAGTGTTGTGGGGATCGAACTACAGCAAACTGAGGCTGCCAGCATTGT